GCAGGAATTTTCAGCTTCTAGGGACTTACCGTAATTCCGCCTCAGCTGAATGGCGTGTCTGACACATCCCACATTTCCTATAGTTACGTCGAAAATGATTCGGCTATTTTTGCAGATTACTCTTCCAGTCTACCACCTCCTTGGTCCTCGGAAGTCTTGTGCATACACAATGTAAACAATTTTGGTATGATGTAGTCTGTCTGTCTGTCTGATTTTCCTCCACTTGTTAACTACAGTGCTTTATCTTCCTGCTTGACACAAGGTTTTCGGACAAATGTTCAGCTCTTTCGTTTATGCAAACTTTTTGCAGACGCGATTCCATCTGATACTTTTGTGTAAGGCGCAGCCCGATACGCCCACAGCAAATCTGAATGTCGTCCTTTGGGACATTTGTCCTACGTTACAAATAGCAGGTTTGTAGGTACTCACGAATCGTACCGCCTGTCTGTCTGGTCGCTGAGCTTAACATGGTTAGATCATCTGTTGCAGTCAGTTCCCCTTGCACAAATCGCGAAACGAAATTGTAATGTGTTGTGTACCGTTGTCTGTCAATATCATCTCTGGCAGGAGGAAATTCTGGAACAGGTTATAGAGCTGGTTGACCGTGTGCTGCACCGGGATCATATCGGGCCACTTAGTGAAAGAGTCCACAGAACAAGTATGATTGTTTAAAGCATTGAGTTAACTGTATCAGCTTTCCACAAAACAACGAGAAGACGAGTACAGCAAGATGACACCATGTTGTTTTATCAGATAACTAGCCAATTAACAACGCAAAGAACTCACAAAGGCATTAAAACGATCGTTTCGAATTACTCAAATACATGCGCGCCAACCCAAAATGACACCTGGTAGCTATTAGTCCTGCATAGTCAAACTATTTCTTATTAAGCTGCATACATTTTATTTTATATTATTTCGTTTCTTCTGTCTACCTGAATAATCTATTTACTGGCCACGTTGCTTACGCTAATTGTGGTTATCTTATTTAACATTATCGCGTTTCTAGAATTTTGGAGTAACTTCCGACCATAATTTAATCATTGCGGATACGTTGCTAACTAAATTATTTTATATGCTAAATTAGTTAAGAGTTATGTGCACATAGACCTATTCTTTAACATGTATAATTAATTCATAATGTCATTTCATGTGATTGGATATTGTTTGACATCCACAGTGTAGCTGAGCTTGATACGCCTGTTGGCATTGTGCCTACCTCTCTATTACCCACTGCCTCGTCCGTTGGTTGTTGCTGTAGGGGACGGGGTGCATGGTTCTTTTGGTCGTGCTAAGTTCAATCGGTTGTTCCATGCAATCATTGTGGAACGGACTACGATCCAGCCACTGCCTTGTGTGCGAGTGATTCCCAAATGCAGCGTGCTTGTATTTGCCTTTTATGGAGTTTCATTTGATGAAACGTGGCTCCCATCCACAAGCTTCCCGGACCTATTCCTTCGGGTTTACACTGGATAGGGGGGTGTCGTTGAACTCTGGGTGTTGCAGCGCAAGCAAACCATGGCCCATTTGTAGGCGCAGGTGTTCTGTGCCTGGCCACAGTGACAGGCAAACCCGAAACCGGATGCGGCAATATGCATATTTATAGAACCGCGATCATTCCTTACATACGCAGCAGATGCGAAATATATGCCTCGGTTATTTCTGCAACGTTTTCTCGAAACCAGAAAATCTTTACGCCAATTTAATCGCTTTGTATACTTGATCCATCAACCTACTGCTTTCACAAGGTATAACGGCAATCGCAGGCGACACATTACCTCCATCCGCAAGGTTATTAGCAATGGACTCGTTCCCAATGCTCCCACACATATTTACTGCTTATATAATCCGCGATTACAAAGACTCACACATTGAGGACACGAACAATGATCCACTATATATAATATGTTTTCATCAATTCTGATTAACGCCAGATAGATTATCAACAAACGGTATTTCCTAAGTATGCTTGCAATTCTAAACGAGCTGCAAGCAATCCTATTTACCAAAACATGGCACCTCGCTGCGATATTAGAATATAATCCAATTTCCCCAAATCTCAAACAACGTCTTCATAAAGCTCGCTGCAATAGAAAATTTAAAGGATGATGCAAGTAACTCGATCACACATGCACACGTGAACGGTTCAAAAATGCATCGCTGAAAAATGTGTAGCGACATGGAGATCCCTCTGTTTGGCTGCCGCATGCTGCGTAAAATATTACAAAATCACAAAATTATATTTTCTCGATGTACATAGCAAATAAACCGCTCGCCTGTTTGAACGTTGCTCGCGTTTGTTTGAGTCAACATGGCATCCGACTTCAAACGGCGCGAAGCTCATCGGCTCCGCGACCATCTTTGCTCTCCGCACACGCGACCACACCTTTCCTCTAGCTAGCTATCTTCCGGTGCCTTATTTTTAGCACTAGATAGCGTTTCGTCCCACTTAATAAATTTTTCCTAGCGTTATTTTTGGTGTTCTCCACTCATCGGAGGTTGGCCTTATATTCGCGTATTGCTTCTAAAGCGTACCGATCCTGATTCTTGCTTTATTGGTGACACCCGACTTTTGGTCATTATCCGGTGAGTTTTCGCTAACCTTTCTTTTCAGATTTGGCCACATTTTTTGCCAACCCGTCTGATTTTCACTTTTCATTTTCTGGTTCAATCTCGTTAGCTCGCTATTTTACTCGCTATGGAAATTGATCGCGTAGATTCTGACATTCAGATGGGCACAGTGACGCTTCCTATCGCACCTTTCGCGAGACTAATCCTAAGTCTTGGTTTAGTCAGCTAGAGTCGCAATTTTCTTTGCGTGGTATTAGGTCCAAAAAGACCAAGTTCCACCTTGGCGTTTCCACGCTCCCGCTAAATGTCATCGACGACATTGATGACATTCTAGATCTTCCTGACGACCAAAACACTTACGATGCAGTCAAGACAGCTGTTCTGAGAAGAACAGGCTTATCGGATCGACAACGAGTTACGAAACTCCTCAACGAAACCGATCTTGGCAATCTTAAGCCGTCTCAGCTGCTTCGAAAAATGCAGAGTCTAGCTAAACCCACTTCGATAGATGATTCTTTTCTTCGGGAAATGTGGTTGCAACGACTTCCGCGCGAGATGCTGCACATCCTCTGCGCTAATGAGGATGCACCTTTATCCAAACTGGCGGATACAGCCGACCGAATTTGGGAGTCGTACGGCCAGGTTTCGCAGGTCCAGACGAAACCGGACGACGATATCGTCACGCTTAAATCCCAGATGGCAACATTAACTCGACAATTCGCAGACTTTTCGGGCTCCGGACATAACCGCTGTAAATGCTCTAGGATCCGTTCGCCTTCACGTCCGAACTCTACTTCGCGATCACAGAAAAGAAACGGTTACTGCTGGTACCTTGGACGATACGGCCAGCAAGCTGAATGATGTAGCCCGCCCTGTTCCTTCAAACGGGCGGACCAGCACGTAGGGGCGACGGACGTAGCTGGACAACGCAGTCGCCTTTTCTTCGTCACCGATCGTAGAACCTGAGTTCGCTATCTCGTCGATACTGGCGCAGAAGTCAGCGTTCTCCCGCGTGATCCAAACGACCCGACCGAAAAGGTGACTAGCTCATTGCGCGCAGCTAACGGGACCATTATCCGCGTAAATGGTCAACGCTCGCGCACGCTAAATCTCAGCCTCCGACGCGCTTTCAAGTGGATATTCCTCGTTGCGGAATGTTCAAACGCCTATCCTTGGTCTCGTCTTCTTACGTCATTACGACCTACTCGTCGACGTTAAGCGACACCGTCTAGTCGACCGCCTTACGAATCTCGCAGTCATTGGGACTTTGATCGACAACGCGTCAATCAGTCCCGTGTACGCGACTCAACTTAGTTCACCCGTCGGGCAAACGTTGCTCGGCAGTTTTCTGCAGGCCTTCCGTCCTGCCGTCCCGTTGCCTTCCGCTACCGACGCCGCGACACACCACATCGTTACGAAAGGTCCGCCTGTGTTCGCAAAAGCCAGACGCATGACCCCCGACAAGCTCAAAATTGCACGCTCCGAATTCAAGCACATGCTAGACTTAGGCATTATTTGCCCGTCTAAGAGCCCGTGGGCGTCGCCTCTACACATGGTGCTTAAAAAGTCAGGAGACTGGCGTCCATGTGGCGACTATCGCGCTCTCAATAACGCTACCGTCCACGACCGCTATCCGATTCCGCACATTCAGGACATCACGGCTAACCTACGTGGCACCCGTGTGTTCTCAAAGATCGATGTGATTCGCGCTTACTACCAGATCCCTGTAGCCGAGGATGACATTCCGAAAACCGCAGTCATCATGCCTTCCGGACTTTTTGAATTCTTGCGAATGCCCTTCGGTCTTCGCAACGCATCTCAGACTTTTCAACGCTACATAGACTCTGTCACGAGAGGTCTCGACTTTGTTT